ATTACTGGTTACTTCCTGATTTTCATTTTTGCACGTGTTACCTTGTATTAATTGATGCTTATTTTGTAATATATAATTATGATTGTATGTCTCTCCTTTGCACTATAATTTGATTTGTTGAGAAATAAAGAATAAGACACACACACACACATGGAGAAAGAGAGAGAGACCGTGACGGTCCCTGGTTATTGTTCACACTCCCATTTCTGAGACATCATATGTTGCATCGATGGAACAATTATCTTAATTTTCCGAGGTAAAAATTTTTATAGGCCTAATATTATTTTTAATTGACTGGAAAAATATTAAAAAAAATCGTTTGAAAAGGTGAAAAATATGTCATGAATTAGCATCGATATTATTGATATTTCGTTTCGTTTTCCTTATCTTTCCGTGACGGAAGGATGATGAAGCTTGAAAACTTTACAGCTCATTTATAGTCATTCATAATTTTATCTTCTTTTGAAAAAAACAAAACTAAAATAAAAACGGATAATTTACATCAATGAACAATTTATTTTTATATGGCTTAACTTATTAGCCCAAGAATGACGCTATTTCTGGTATGTTATTGATAAAGACAAGAGGTAAAACAAAATAACCATAAAACAATATCAATCTAAATACATGCATGAAATAACGGCCAAACATTTCTACTTAATAAAGGTTTTAGAATAGAGAATAAAAATGTCCAGATCGGAGCGACTACTTTCTAAAATATTTCGGCTTGACAAAGGTTGTAGAACAGAAAATGAACAAGAATGTGTCCATAGTACACGGATGCCCCACTCGCACTATCATTTTCTATGTTCAGTGGACCGCGAAATTGGGGTCAAAACTCTCAATTGGCATTAAAATTAGAAAGATCATATCATAAGGAACATGTGTACTAAGTTTCAAGTTGATTGGACTTCAACTTCATCAAAAACTACCTTGACCAAAAACTTTAACCTGAAGCGGACGGACGGACGAACGGACACACCGCATACCGAAAAACATAATGCCCCTAGGTGGGGCATAAAAATGCCCAGATCACATGAGGACGGAGCAGCTACTTGCTATAAAAGTCTTGATCAAGTCTGATTTTATGTGATGCTCTCAGAATTGAAAACAAAAATAAAACTGAAATCTTGATATCAAGTTAAGATGTGAATAATGAAGATTATCCATTAACAGTGTAATGTTTTATTTATATAAAATCAGTTGCAGTATTGTGAGAATTCAAATCAGCTGTGAACACAAATGTTTATGGGAAGTAGAAGTGAACAAATTAGTGATGGCAATATATTTGGTATCACCTCCTCAGATGGGGGCAATATATTTGGTATCACCTCCTCGGATGACGGTGCATGTTTTATCCAAAGATAGGGGCAATGTATTTGTCAATCCAAATAAATAATAACACTATGATTCGTAGTATATATTTAAAAGTTATTGCCTATGTGTGATGTTTTAGTGTGTCATTTCACATTAAAATATTCTGAATTTCAGGGCCCTGGACGATACGATATCAAATTTTTGATTTTTTTAGGATAATTACTATTTGACCACATTATTACATACAGATTATTACGATCAAGATTACAGTTTATCTTTTGTAATCTTTTTTTTTTACATAAGAGGCAGTGTTCATTTTTGATATACAAATCAAGATAAAAAATAACCTAGGGAATCTCATGAACTCCAAACGAAGTGAGACCGGATGCGTCGACAGTGTATGCGTCTCTTGCTATGTATGCATCACTTGTGATGCAAATCTATACGCGACCAAAACGTCAAGATAGGGAAATGTGAAAAAAATCGGTAAATTTACAGACCAGACGACTATTCTGGTAGTTTTAAAGAACTAAGACAACAAACGCACGTCTCTTGCGTCGTATCGGTCAACGAATTCGCAATGCTATCACATCACCCGAGGGCATTTAATACATGAACTAAGACTTGATAAGTACTTCTAAACCAGAAGACGCTACAACCTAATATTGTATAACATAGTTAGACATTTTTAATATCTGATCAAATAATTTGACAAAGAACTTTTCGGTCGTGATATAGGGTCACTTATTTTTGTCCTCAAGTTTTTATAGTTCTGTTTTTTTTTTTTTTGTTTTTTTTTTTAAGTTTTGCTGCTTTGTCTTTTTAATTGGTGGCTCTACGTTTGACCAGTTCTTTTTATATTGTTTATTCTGATCACCAGTTACCTTTCCGAAGCACACGAGATCGCCCCATGCTTTGGTGGGGTTTGTGTTACTCAGTCATTAGTTTTCTATGTAGTGTCCAACGGACGTATTTGTCTTTTCGCCGTTTTTTCTTTTATTACCATGGCATCGTCAGTTTCTCTTCGACTTTTGAGTTTTGAATGTCCCTTTGGTATCCTCTCTCTTTTATTTTAACTATTATTTTTGTTACTGATAAAGACAGTTATTTCTCAATGTTGTATACTGGCTTGTTTGCAAAATATAATTGTTTTCTTTATCACTTTAAAAGCATGTAATTTGGGAATATGTAATAACCACACAACTATTCTAGCCATATTGATGCTCCTTGCAAATCAGGAATGACGGATATCGTGCACTATTTTATGACGTCACAGTAATAACGTTCCTCTAAGATTTCTTTATAAGTACAGTGTCGTTCAGTTTGCACAATGTTATATATATAAAAGTCTAAATTGAAAACAACGTTTAAACCTATGATTGCGTTGGATAAAAACCGCAATTTTTATACGTGTGCATGTAAAACAAATTTCGTGGTAGAGGGGTCTAAATACAGCACAAACAACAATTTCCAAAAGACCAAAAAAAGTGAAAAAGTCTATTTTAACAAAACGCATTTGACTAACAGGTCGAACAACTGATGTTCTTAAACCCTGCTGACTGCCATTGGCGATTGCCAAATAAATTGATCACCAGATCTAACAAAATGGATCTTAATATTAATTCAATACCAAACAGAAACCAATAAACTTGTGGAAAAGATGGTATACCACAAACATGAGGTGCAAAAATTTGTACACCATATCCGGATTTCGACAATTAATGTCTCTTCAGTGATGTTAGGGATCGAAACGGTATATATATATATATATATATATATATATATATATATATATATATATATATAAGTAAAAATGCACACGTACCGAAAAATTGTGTTAAAGCATGCGGAAGAATATCTCAAGAACATTTTGCGACAATCCCGGCAATTAAGGACCGGTAACTCTGTAATTGTTTTTGCGGGGAAATATGAATGCCTACTCATACCCAATCTTTTAGAAAAATCGAAATTTTACAGAAGAGTGTCCACCATGCACTTGCACTGCACTATTATTAGAATAGTAGAATAGAATGATATACAAATGGATCATTCGATGTTCAGTACTTCAGTACTTTGATTTAAGAAGTGGATGCTTGTAACATATTTTATTTGCTCATTTTTAAAAGATGACTCTTTGTGGACGTCGCATGGCGACGTTTCCATAGATTTTTCTTTTTCCTGTGAATACTCATCTGTTGATATATACTGTGAAAGTTTTGTGTATCTCTACATATAATTAGCTATGTTGAAAGACGTGCATAATGTCAAATCATAAAAATACAAATTGTTTAGTCTCTGAAAAAAAACGTGTAAGATTTCCGCTGCTTTTTTTGCTACATGGGTGCAATTTGGGTACTGTGACGTTATACGTGAAACTCACGTGAAATCAGTTCATGTGAGTTTCACGTGAAAATCACATGATTGTTTTTCAAGTGAAATACGCGTGAATTTAAAAATAAAGTTATTCAAATAACATCTATTTATAGTGTATGAAATTTTTAATGCATTGTAAAGTTTGAAACATCTCAAGGTTCAAATAAAAGGAACGATTCCAGGTTGCAGTTATAACAAGTTAGCTGTTGTCAAAATAAAAAAAAAGTGGTGCATCGCCCACTAAATCCTCGCTTCAATATGTCAATATTTAATGCTACCATGAAAGTTTAATGGTCATGTGTTTGTCTTAAAGCATAAATTATCCGGTCCTATTATTTTAATCTGAAAAACATTTAACAGGCAGAAATTATGAACCCTCTTGTTAATGAAACAAAAAGTTAAACGAACAAAGGTTGTAAACTAGATCTTAAAATGCATAAAAATACGGCTGTGGTGATTCAAGTGACGTAAATTGGTTTTTTTCACGGTCTCCAAATTGAAATTACTGGCATAAAGAGTATTGTGTTCCCATAACAGGACATTAATACTTGTGTAATGCTTGTTAGCAGCAAATCACTTTTACATGAAAAGGTATTATACAAGTGGAATTATACTACTTTGACTTAAAGGTGTGTAATTAAAACTGTTCAATTTTTCTTTAACGGTAATTTAAAAACGATTGAATTAAAGGTATGTTGAGAAAATGCCAAACATTTAAAATTAAAATGGGAATGAGAATACCTTTTTACTTCACATTATTCTTACAAACTCAACAGTGTTGTCAGGAGCATTATCTGCCAACCTTGGTAAGAACTTGATGTTGGAATATTTTAACAGTAATCGACCGACATTATGTTCGCTAAAAGGTAAAATTCAATAATGTTCACTATCATAAATATCATCAGCATTTTTTTCTTTTCTTTTTATATTGGTAATTATTCATCCCAGCCAAATATAATTCCTATGATTAAAGCCATTTATGTATGCTTTATATATACTTTTGAAAAAAATAATATGCTGAACTATAATAATACTTTTAAATAAGCAATAAGAACAGTTTTTTAGAAATTATTTTTTTCAACCAAATTGAAAATATGTGTTTTACGAATGTAACGATGACATAATTGTTCTGCAATACGACATGAGTTGTGCAAAATAAAACTTTTAAATATAGAAAAATTAAAAAAATTATAATGTTTTTATTATCTCAATTATGGATGTTTTATCTCAATAGAGATGAACTATAATATATAATCATCTCCAAAACTACTTGTTTGGTAAAATTGAAAAAAAATACTTTATACTTTCAGGTCTATGTAGGCCATGGGACAGCAGGTCAGTGTTGAAACCTTGACTACAAGAGATACAGATAAAACCAGTCTTTATTGGTGTAGCTTCGAACCATATCCACATAAAGTGGGAAAGCGTAAACTAACATACCTCGGAGTTCTAAACGGAGAAGGTCCAAGAAAAGGAGAGAAATGTATGGTAAAGGCATTCCGAAATGGTTGTGGCACATATGAAGATTGGTTGGCAGAACGAGAAAGATCTCATCATGCAAACCAAACCGCTAGGCGATTCCAAAAGGAACTTGAAACACAAGGAAAAACTGCTAAGATGCATTTCACAATTCCATTAATGGTAGAAATCGATGAAGTGTCGAACTATATGTGCGTGTCCTTTATTGTTGGAAAACCACATAAGAAAATGAGAGAACTAGAGGTTGTGTCGTTGGAACCTTATTACGAAAACGACTTTAAAGTTTTCAAATCTGACAAAATGCGTTCGTTTGAAACGACATTATGTGAGGCTTTTACACATTTTAGTTGGTATGACAGTAATGGGGAAATAGTTGTTACAAGCCTGAAAGGTGTTCGGAAAATGAACCAGTATGACTTCACAGTACCTATCATTCATTCAAAAGAAAGAACGTATGGTGCAACTGATCATGGGTCAAAGGGCATTAAAGATTTCTTCCGTGAGCATCAGTGCAATGAAATATGCAATAACTGGCCGCGGCCAGATCGTATTTCAGTTAATACTGAAGATGTAGAAAAGAGCACTCTAGAGCGCTTCCAAATCCATCCACAGGAATCAATCAAACCAAAATTCGGGTACAGCAATAATGTTTGGAATCCAGAACTCCATCGCTTTTATATTCAAAATATAAATAAAGATGAAACTGTGCACTGCCAAAAAGAACAGAATTGTTTCTGCGAATACTTCCGGTTACCCTGTCAACATAGTATAAGCCATAACTCTGCTTTTATTTACAATAAAAATCAACCGAAAGATGGCATGGGAAACTTTTTGTAATTTGTTAAATCATTCGTCAAAAATTTCAAAATCAAAGTTTGAATTTCTTCAATGTGCTGGTCGCATTTTCCAGTTGTGCCATTTGGAATATGAAGATATCGGAGGAAAAAAACTTGCTATTATTCATGCTTAAACGTAACTTTTGATACCGATTTTCAAACTATTAGTGTGAGCTTAGATTTTGCAGATATTTTTTATGGTGTACTCGTATACATATTGTCATCACGGGTAAGAAATTAAAATGAAAGTCAGGTCTGCAGGACACCACAGATTTTTGTCACTTACTATGAAGAGCTTTTTTATTTAATCAGATACCAGGTCATATAAAATTAAGAGTAGCTTGGAAGATTTTTTTAAACCCAAGAAAAGGGAAAGTGGTCGACAGAAATGTCGAGGTCTGAATAAATACTTCAATTATAGTTTAAAATACGATAATCTCATATATCAGTAATATAATATAACAGAATACAATCACGAAACTAAATAGTCAGACTGTTAAATTCTATGATTAAAATGTATCCAGAATTTAATGAGTTTCGTAAAATATATGTGCTTGTGAAAAGCAGATTTTACAGTTGCTTTCAATTGAAGTTAACAATAAAAAAGTGAGAGAGAAAAAACTAAAATTATTCCGGAAATAGTTTCAAGGAAAAATCTTATAACACAAAGCAGGCCTGTGAAAACGAAATATGTAGACACTTACTATTAAGCATGTCTGTGTTAAGCTATTTCTTTAAATATACAAAAAATTACTGCATATTTCGAATACTAAGTCTAGTACTTTTTTGATGATTTGAGATGTATCTATACATATCATTTTATGTTTTATATGGTAAACCCCCTAGAGAAACCTCCATTGAAAATACGAGGAAAGCGAATAAAAGGACCGTCCATAAATAATGTTTTGTTTATTTATGTTATTTCACTATACTATTTATATATCTGTGGGAATAATGTTTTAATAATATTACATGTTAAACATTTTACAAAATACTGCACTTTACTTTTCTGATAAGAGAATATGTTATGTAGTCTTAAACCGATATTTTATTTTCTGTAATATGAAACTTTTTTAATTTTTTTTTTTTTTGTTAGAATTTGAAATATCTAGGGTGAAACATATAAATGTTCCAATTATTATATTGTCTATAGATATAATACATTTTACGAATCAAAGATAATAATAAAATAAAATAGTGTTATCAGGCGGCCCATTGAAATATTAATCTGTTGACTTCGGTTATTGGTTATAACCGCATAACCACATTGCAATTCGTCACAATCAAAGAATTAACGAACGTTCGGAACTCATTTACTAATAGATACTTCTCTCCCTCTACACCTCTAGTCAGTTATCTTAAAGTGCTATGTTTGAATATCTAATTTGTTGTTAACCAGAATATTACAATCTGTTGTTATATCATATAGCGTGTTGTGGTATCCTCGAAATGGTATTGTTGTTACATTTGTTTAGAAATGCATTGTTGATTTTTATATGTACTGTTTTGTTGTCGACCGATGAAATGTACTATTTTGTTGTTACTCAGAAAATAAATATATATTAAACTAAAATGATTTTTTAAAACTTGTTTGCCTATAAATGTGCACTTCTGGGCTAGTGATAAACTACGGAGCCCTGTTGGTCTCACACAGATTATAAAGTGTCTTTTAAAGTCCTGCGCTGAAGATGTGTAAAGTCTAGCGCTAGAGATGTAAAGTCTAGCGCTGGAGATGTAAAGTCCAGCGCTGAAGATGTTAAGTCTAGCGCTGGAGATGTAAAGTCCAGCGCTGGAGATCTAAAGTCTAGCGCTGGAGATGTAAAGTCAAGCGCTGAAGATGTAAAGTCTAGCGCTGGAGATGTAAAGTCCAGCGCTGAAGATGTAAAGCCCAGCGCTGGAGATGTAAAGTCAAGCGCTGGAGATGTAAAGTCTAGCGCTGGAGATGTAAAGTCAAGCGCTGGAAATGTAAAGTCCAGCGCTGGAGATGTAAAGTCAAGCGCTGGAGATGTAAAGTCAAGCGCTGGAAATGTAAAGTCCAGCGCTGGAGATGTAAAGTCAAGCGCTGGAGATGTTAAGTCTAGCGCTGGAGATGTAAAATCAATCGAATTATACGAATTCCAAACAAAAAGAAATTAGAAAATTCAGCAAAGAGTCAGAAACTCACTAAAATAAGTAAGAAAATACCAAAACGAGAATAAAAAAATTTAAAGACGGAAGAAGAAATGAAGCACACTATGACCAGCAAACAACCATTAGATAGCTGATAGTGGGGGCATAAAGAACCCTCAGATAGCTGATAGTGAGCATAAAGAACCCTCAGATAGCTGATAGTGGGCATAAAGAACCCTCAGATAACTGATAGTGGGAATAACGAACCCCTAGATAGCTTAAAGTGGACATAACGAACCCTCAGCTAGCTGATAGTGGGAATAGCGAACCCCTAGATATCTAATATTGGGCATAAGGAACCCTTAGCTAGCTTAAAATGGGCATAAAGAACCCTTAGATAGCTGATAGTGGACATAAAAATCCCATAGATAGCTGATAGTGGGCATAACGAACCATTAGATAGCTGATAGTGGGCATAAAGAACCCTTAGATAGTTGATAGTGGGCATTACGCAGCAAAGAACAAAACACCCTCAGATAGCTGATAGTGGGCAAAGCGAACCCTCAGATAGCTGATAGTGGGCATAACGAACCCTTAGATAGCTGATAGTTGGCATAACGAACCTTTAGAAAGCTGCATTCTGGTACAGGATTGTGTGAATGTTCGCCAACGTCGCCAACGTCGCCAACATTTACAAAATCATTACTGTTCGCCAACGTCGCCAACGTCGCCAACATTTACGAAATCATTACTATTCGCCAACGTCGCCAACATTTACGAAATCATTACTGTTCGCCAACGTCGCCAACCTTTATGAAATCAATACTGTTCGCCAACGTCGCCAACCTTTATTCTATTCTATTCACTATCAGCTATCTAATGGTTCGTTATGCCCCCTATCAGCTATCTATGGGTTTTTTATGTCCACTTTCAGCTATCTAAGGGTTCTTTATGCCCATTTTCAGCTAGCTAAGGGTTCCTTATGCCCAATATTAGCTATCTAGGGGTTCCTTATGCCCACTATCAGCTATCTATGGGTTTTTTATGTCCACTATCAGCTATCTAAGGGTTCTTTATGCCCATTTTCAGCTAGCTAAGGGTTCCTTATGCCCAATATTAGCTATCTAGGGGTTCGCTATGCCCACTATCAGCTATCTATGGGTTTGTTATGTCCACTATCAGCTATCTAAGGGTTCTTTATGCCCATTTTCAGCTAGCTAAGGGTTCCTTATGCCCGATATTAGCTATCTAGGGGTTCGCTTTGCCCACAAACAGCTATCTGAGGGTCCGTTATGCCCACTATTAGCTATCTAGGGGTTTGCTATGCCCACTATCAGCTATCTGAGGGTTCGTTATGCTCACTTTTAGCTATCAAGGGGTTCGTTATTCCCACTATCAGCTATCTGAGGGTTCTTTATGCCCACTATCAGCTATCTGAGGGTTCTTTATGCCCACTATCAGCTATCTGAGGGTTCTTTATGCTCACTATCAGCTATCTGAGGGTTCTTTATGCCCCCACTATCAGCTATCTAATGGTTGTTTGCTGGTCATAGTGTGCTTCATTTCTTCTTCCGTCTATAAATTTTTCTATTCTCGTTTTGGTATTTTCTTACTTATTTTAGTGAGTTTCTGACTCTTTGCTGAATTTTCTAATTTCTTTTTGTTTGGAATTCGTATAATTCGATTGATTTTACATCTCCAGCGCTAGACTTAACATCTCCAGCGCTTGACTTTACATCTCCAGCGCTGGACTTTACATTTCCAGCGCTTGACTTTACATCTCCAGCGCTTGACTTTACATCTCCAGTGCTGGACTTTACATTTCCAGCGCTTGACTTTACATCTCCAGCGCTAGACTTTACATCTTCAGCGCTTGACTTTACATCTTCAGCGCTTGACTTTACATCTCCAGCGCTTGATTTTACATCTTCAGCACTAGACTTTACATCTCCAGCGCTTGATTTTACATCTCCAGCGCTTGACTTTACATCTTCAGCGCTTGACTTTACATCTCCAGCGCTGGACTTTACATTTCCAGCGCTTGACTTTACATCTCCAGCGCTAGACTTTACATCTTCAGCGCCTGACTTTACATCTTCAGCGCTTGACTTTACATCTCCAGCGCTTGATTTTACATCTTCAGCGCTAGACTTTACATCTCCAGCGCTTGATTTTACATCTCCAGCGCTTGACTTTACATCTCCAGCGCTAGACTTTGCATATCTCCAGCGCTAGATTTTACACATCTCCAGCGCTAGACTTTACATCCCCAGCGCTAGACTTTACATCTTCAGCGCTTGACTTTACATCTCCAGCGCTAGACTTTAGATCTCCAGTGCTAGACTTTACATCTTCAGCGCTGGACTTTACATCTCCAGCGCTAGACTTTACATCTCTAGCGCTAGACTTTACATCTCTAGCGCTAGACTTTACATCTCCAGCGCTAGACTTTACACATCTTCAGCGCAGGACTTTAAAAGACACTTTATAATCTGTGTGAGACCAACAGAGCTCCGTAATAAACAATATACCGTTGAAACTTATGATATAATGAGCATTCTATTATAAAGATTGAGAGATACATGTTTAATGCATCAGACGCGCTTTGAACTTTCGCGTATAGAAAGAGATGCTTACGCTGTTTCATTCTCTATTGATTTTTCATGCGAATCCATGATTGTTTTATACTAATTCATGCTCGTATCTGTTTGTTTCAGTGTTAATACCTTCGTATTCAACAAGTGATGTCTTTTCCGTGGTCCTTGAGGCAAACATTAACAAGAATCAATTAGCTTAAATAAATACCCTTAAGTCCCCCCCCCCCCCCCGCACCACAAAAAAAAAACAGAAGAAAAACGTCAGGATATTTCATTTAAACAAATGCTGAATGGTAGAAAACTCTTTACCTTGCAATAAAAATTGAACATTAAAACACTATTTGGTTACGGCTCTGTTGAAATATCAAACTGTAATAAAACTAAGGTTTGAACTTCTGAGGCAAAGAGACCCTAGACGGGTTTGTGTACTTTTTTTCTCCACAAACGTAATACATATTGACTTTCTAAAATTACAAAAATAAGTGTCGTGAGCACGGAAATTTGTTATCACAATGATTAGTTTATTTCAGAAACAAGTGTCATGTGCACTGAAATATGTTGGACACTGATGAATTTATTACACAAACACGTGTCTTGTGCATTGAATTTTTTTTTTTATACTTGTGAGTTTATTTCAAAAATAAGTGTCATGTGCACGGAAATTGGTATCGCATTGATTTATTTAGTTTATTACAGAAACAAGTGTCATGTCCACGGAAATTGGTATCATTCTGATGATTTTATTATAGAGATATATCTTGTTCACAGAAATCGGTATGATATATGATACTAATAAATGTCATGTGCATGGAAGTCGGTATGACGCTAATGAGTTTGTTATAAAAACAAGTGTCATGTGCACAGAAATCGGGATAACACTGATAAGTTCGTAACAGAAACACGTGTCTGGTGCACGAAAATCAGTATCTCACTGATGAGTTTATTACAGAAACAAGTGTCATGTGCACGGAAATTGGTATCACACTGATGAGATTATTACAGAAACACGTGTCTTGTGCACTGAAATTGGTATCACACTGATGAGTTTATTTCAAAAATAAGTGTCATGTGTGCACAAAAATTGGTATCACATTGATTTATGTGCACAGAAACACGTTTCGTGTGAACGAAAATCGGTATCACACTGAAGAGTTTATTATAAGAACACGTGTTATGTGAACGGAAATCGGTGTAACACTGATGAGTTTATTACAGAAACAAGTGTCAAGTTCATGGAAATCGGTATGACACTGATGAATTTATTACAAAAACAAGTGTCATGTGCATGAAAATAAGCATAACACTGATAAGTTTGTAACAGAAACACTTGTCTGGTGCACGAAAATCGGTGATCAACTGATGAGTTTATTACAGAAACAAGTATCATGTGCACGGAAAATCGGTATCACACTGAAGAGTTTATTATAAGAACACGTGTTATGTGAACGAAAATCGGTATGACACTGATGAGTTTATTACAGAAAAAAGTGCAATGTGCACAAAAACCGGTATGACACTGGGGAGTTTATTACAGAAACACGTGTCTTGTGCACGAAAATCGATATGACACAGAATGAGTTTATTTTAGAAACATGTCATGTGCACGGAAATCGATATCACACTGATGATTTTATAGAAACGTGTGTCCTGTGCCTGGATATCGGTATGACAATGATGAGTTAATAACAAACACGGGTGCCATGTGTACAGAATTCGGTATGACACTGATGAGTTTATTACAAAAACAAGTGTCATATGCACGAACATCGGTATCTTTCGTAGTTCGATATTGTCTTGACAATTACCGTTTGAAAGTCTTAAAATTTCAAAGATTCTTTAAACTTATTTTTTAAAGCAATCATAAATA